CGCCCGGGCGGGGGTGGGGGCGGGGCGAGCGGGGACCGCCTCCCTGGGAGGGCGGGTTCGTGGGAAGCCACGCCCCTTCCTGTTGGCCCCGCCTCCCTACTCCAGCTCTCCTTTCCAGGACGTAGGCGTGCACTGAAAGGAGACCTCCGACCGCACTGCTCCCTGCTGGTCAAGATGGGTAAAGCAAGGTGCTGTTATTCTGGTCATTCCAAGAGACCTCGCGCTATTCTTAAATCACTGCTGTCCTGGAACCACAAAGACTTTGTAATAAGCTGAGTTCAGAGTGAAGTAGGGAATGTGCAATCTCTCTATATAGATTTGATGGCCTATAAGATGAACGGCTCTTTCCCCCCATTTGATTGGCCTATAAGAGGCCGCCTATGGTTATCGGTATAACACAGTCCTACTATCCAGGACCTCTAGGTACGGAAGGAGGCTATTTCATTCATTTACTCATTCAATGAAAAAGGTACTAAGGGTACACAATCTAGTGGGGAGATGAAAATAAATAATCTAAGAACGTAATAAATTATATACTGTAATGTAAATACTTCTTTTAAATCCTCACCCAAGGATATGCTTAGAGAGGAAGGGACAGAGAGAGAAATATCAATGAGAGAGAGAAACATGGATCCGTTGCCTTCGGTTGCCTTCTGTGCATGCCCTGACGGGGCACCCATATACTAGCATGTGCCCTGAGTGGGAATCCAACTCAGTGCACAGTACCACAGTCATCTAAACTGGCCAGGCTGTGCTGGAAGTAAAACATGGTAATGTTATAGAGCAAGGTGAAGAGAACTAATTTAGAACAGATATCTCAAATAAGGACCCAGTTGTGCAACAAAGTGGAGAACCTTCCAAACAGAAGAAACAGCAGGTGCAAAGATCCTAAGGTGAAGAAGACCTTGGCTCGTTTCAGAAACAGAAAGGAGGCCAACAAGAGCGGAAAGGGGTGGATTGTGGAGATGTGGGGCACAAGATAAAGATGCTCCTGTAGGCTGAGTCAGAAACATGAAGTCTGATAGAAGTCTTTCAGATTTCTGTGCTTTTGGACAAATTGCTTAATCTTTCAATAATCTGTAAAATGGGCATAATAATTGTACCTATCTCATAGGGATGCCATAGAGCAGGGGTCCTCAAACTACGGCCTGCGGGCCACATGCAAATACAAATATTGTATTTGTTCCCGTTTTGTTTTTTTACTTCAAAATAAGATATGTGCAGTGTGCATAGGAATTTGTTCACAGTTGTTGTTTTTTTAAACTATAGTCCGGCCCTTCAACAGTCTGAGGGACAGTGAACTGGCCCCCTGTTTAAAAAGTCTGAGGACCCCTGCCATAGAGTATTAAATAAGATGATATGCCTATAGCCATTAACATAATAAGTCTGACACACAGTAAGCATTCAATAATGTTATTTTAAATTATTTATTTTAAGGGTAGTAATGACCTCAATTTTTGCAGGCTAGGTCTCTGTAGCTGTACCTTTCCCAGCCTTGCTCTTGGGGAGAATTTATTGTTGTTCCAGTAGAATCAGTCAAGTTCTCCAAATAGACTCCATTTGATTTCATCTTATCCACTCGCTCTGAATTTTGAGTTTAAATAGGAATACCCTATCTCCACCTATAAAGTGTAAAGTTATGTGAATTAAGTTATCAAACTCACATAAACGATGTCTTCAAATTTATTTGGAAAAATATGTGTGTTGTGTGACTATTCTAGTCTGTTTTTCTAAACATAACTGGGAATTGCAGCAGACAATAAACAAGGAAAATGAATTGAGCAGGAATAGTCCCTTCTCCCACTCAGCTGCAACTATTCTGGTCAAACAAGTCCATCTACATCAAAATATAGCGCCTCTGACATCAAGAGGTAAAGAAGAGAGGATAAAGCAGAGGAAAAAAGACAGCACATTGGTTCAATTTCAATAGCTATTTATGAGCACATACTAATGTGTTATTTCAACACCAATATTTCAGACCCCCTTGACCCATATTCCCTTTCTCTCACCCATCTGGCAAAATTCCAACTTCAGATGAACCTATCCATTTCCCCATGCCTGCGGCAGAACAGCCCTGCTCCTTTTTCATATGTCCCTGTAAGACTCTATTCCCCTCCACCAGAAAATGTAGCTCAAGTTGTAATTATACATTCATAAGTGTGATTAAATGGTTAGTGTCGTTTCCTTCCAGTAGACTATAAGTTCCAGGAAAACAAGGACTGTGACTATTTCTTGCTCATTATTGTATCCCCCAAAGATGGTTATATAGATAAATTCCTGAATGAATAAATATGTGAGTATGCTAGACACCATGATAAGTAAGCAGAGACACAGAAAGACTAAGAAATGTCATCAGGACTCAAGGAACTTACACTATCACAGAGTAGAAAAGAAGAGATATGAGAAAGTAGAGCTAACTCGTTTTTTTTGGAGGGGGGGGTCAATAAAAGAGATGTCATAACAAGCAGTGATGAGATAGATTTAAATCTTCAAAGAATTATTTAAGAATAGTCTCCTACTTACCTCTAATGTAGCGTTGATGGATGTGTGGTTTTAAAATACGTACACAGATACGTACACTTTCCCTCCACCATTCGTCAGATCTAGTGACGTGCTCTGAACAAATAGAATACAGAGAAAGGGACAGTATATAATTAGAGACCAGGTCATAAAAAGCATTGGGGTTCCTCTTTATTCTCCCTTGGATCATTCCCTCTGTGGGAAGCCAGCTGTCATGTGATGAAGACACACCAGCACATCTATGGAGAGGCCCACATGGCCAAGGTCAGCCTGCAAGAAAGTGAGGCCTGCTGCCAGCAGCCATGTGAGGGAGCCCAGCAAGCCTTTAGGTGACTGAAGCCCCAGTCAGGATTGCAACATCCTTAGGAGCTGAGTCACATAACCCAGTTCAGCTGTTTTTGACTTGCTGGCCCACAAAAACTGTGAGATGATAAATGTTTGTTGTTTTAGGCCACTAAGTTTTGTGATACTTTGTTATACAGTGATAGACAACTAATCTGACAGGAACTGATATTTCTCTAGAGAGAGATTGGGAAATAGTACCAGATAGGCAAGTAGCAACTACTTTTACTCCCACATAGCCACAACACTCCAGTCTTTTAGAAATTTGTCATCCCAAATATCCACCCCCAAATATCTACCAGAATGCACTTAATTAAATGTGTCTATGGCTAAGCAGTAAGACTTTGATGTAGGAATAGAAGTTAGAATTTGTAGGCTTTTTGGAAATACTCTTCTTTAATCAAAGTAATATACAAAGATAGTTTCTTTATTCTTTTTCTTTTTCTTTTTTTAAAAAAAGGTACTACAAGGCTTAGGTTATAAAAGAGATGTCTACTGCCCCACCTTATTCTACTTCAGAGTCCCATTCCCCCAATTCATTCTTTTTAAAATATATTTTTATTGATTTTAGAAAGGAAGGAGAGTGAAAGAGAGAGACATCAATGGTGAGAGAGAATCATTGATCTGCTGCCTCCTGCATGCCCCCTACTGGAGATTGAGCCTGCAACCAGGGCATGTGCCCTGACTGGGAATTGAACCATGACCCATTATATATATATATATATATATACCAATTCATATATATACATTAAGGATTCGCACATGTGATTATGGATGCTGGCAAGTTCAATATCTGCCGGTCAGATGACAAGCTGGAGGCCCAGGAGAGCTAGTGTTCCAGTTCAAATCTGAAGGCTGTCTGCTATACAACCAGGAAAAGCTGGTGCTGCAGATGATGTCCAAAGGGAATCTGCTGGGAAATTGTCTCTTGCTTGAGGTAGGCTCCATTCCCCAATTCTTAAACATGTTTTTTATATATTTATCTCCATATTTCTAAATAATATGCTTATGCTGCTGTTTCTTGATAGATCAACTTTAGGATTTATCTTTTGACTTTCCCATATGGAAGATAAAGATTTAGAACTCATATCACTCTTGATCCCCACTGCCCCTACCTTCATCCTCCATGCATACAATATATTCAAGTTTTGGTTAAATCACTATCCAACATTTTAAAAAATAAATTTGTTTATGTTTTAAATATATTGTTCTTGATTTCAGAGAGGAAGCAAAATGGAGAGAGAGAGATAGAAAGATCATCAATGATGAGAGAGAATTATTGATAGGTTGCCTCTTGGTGAGGACAGAGCCTGCAATCTGGGCTTGTGCCCTTGACGGCAATCAATCCTGGGATCCTTCAGTCCCCAGGCCAATGCTCCATCCCAGGGGTGGGCAACCTTTTTGTGAGTGCTTGCCAAAACCAGCAAAATCTCTGACTCAAAATTCTTCTGTGTGCCCACCCTAATTTTTTGAGAACATGTTACGCCTACTTGATAACTCTTAAGGTGTACATATGTGAAGAACCTGGAAGAAATAATAAAATTCATTCGAACGACAAAAACACAGTATATGATGATGAAAAATGCATTTATTTTAATGTATACATGTACACTGATAGTCCGACAGAAAACTTTATGACTCCATTTGATATTATCAGTGGGACTTTTGCTGCTGCATCACTGATGACAGAGATTTTACATCAGGTTGATATTTCGTGACCTTCAGAGATACGCACGAACTACTACTTTCATCTGTCAGGCTACTCCTATTACGAGACTTAACAAAATTCATCACTGAGAACAAAGATTCACAAGCATATGTGGATGAAACCAAAACACTGGTCATATCTAGGAAGGCAGGGAGAGTTAAGGCAGAGGCATAGAAATTGCTCTTCCCCTCTCTCGTCAATTCATGTTTATGGTCTTTAAGATAACTTGTTATGTAAAATTATTTACTTATCTAAGATGCACCTACACTTAATTTATCTGAAAAATAAAAAAAGTCGATATTAAGAAAAAAATTGTAAATGGAAGATTATAAGAGAGGGTTTCGTGTGCCAGCAAAAGTTATTGCCCACCCCTGCTCTATCCACTTAGCCAAACCAGCTAGGGCTATCCAATATTGTCTTTTTACTGTGGGGTGATGTAAGTCAAGCAATATACTGTAGTTAGGTTTGCTTTATTGTAAAACTGTTTTGTACCTCTTGGAATGAAAAGCTGCCTCATTTTAACAATGTGCTTAGTCTTGCCTGGCTGGTTAGAGCGTTGGCCCTTGGACTGGAACCCAGTCAAGGGCACATACCTCCATTGAAGGCCCTAGTCAGGGCTCAAGGGGGAGGCAACCAATCAATATGTCTCTCTCACGTTGACGTTTTGTTTCTCTCTCTTTGTCTCTCCCCTTCCCTTCCACTCTAAAAATCAATGGAAAATAGATCCTTGGGTGAGGATTAACAACAGCAACAAAGATGTGCTTCGTTGTTGTTGTTGTTTTTAATCACTTTTTTCTTCCCAAGTTTACGATTGTGAACTCCCTCTGAATAACGTTTTTCAGAAAGTCAGTCGGATTAGGTGTCTGGAATTGGAACACATCCAGTCCTGCGTTCCCCAGAGACACTCTGGAGGCCTCAGTCCTCTTGCTCTAATCCGGGCTTCAGGACAGTTGCATCGCTCTCTCCTAGCACTTTTTAAACTCCTCTCCTATGTGCTACCGTTGGTTTTCTGATACCCAGGTCCCCTCATTTTTGTTCACTCATGTGTTTGGATCATATCCTTTCAGTATTTTTCTGGAAAAGGATTTAAAGATGTGCATTATTCTTCATAGCTAACAATACCTTAATTCTATTCTCATATTTGACGAATAGTTTGGCTGGCAATAGGATTCTCTCAGAATTTGGAACGCCTTGCTCCATTGTACTGGAACTCCTGATGCTTTTGTACTTGCCCTTCTAATTCTCAATTCTTTGTAGGGACCAGGGTTTTTGTTTCTCTTTCTGAAAGTTTTATCTCTGTTAAGGGCATTTTCCATTCCTAGAACTGGTATGCAGTGTGCCCTATCAATCTAGATAGCCATCCTTCAATTTTGGCTATTTTCTTGAGTTACTTCTAAGATTATCCTCTCTTCTGTTCTCATGTTCTCTCTTAGTGGCACTGTCATTAGTCAGACCCTGTTTTCCTTGAATTAATCCTCTATTTTTTCCATCTCTTCTCATCTATTTCTTTTTATTCCTCTGTCTTTTTATTCCACTATCTAGGATATTTCCTCCATGTTTCTTCTAACGTTTTTGTTGAAACTTTTTATTGTGGTTATTGGATATTTAGTTTCTAAGAACTCTTTCTTGTCCTCTGATTGTTCTTTTTTATAAAATCCTGTTCTTAAGTCTTTGATGATATTGATTACAGTTTTTTGTTTGTCTTCCTTTCTTCCCTTTCTGTT